ACATTTTGTTTTCGTACCACGGTCACTCCCAGCTCGACCGCCACAACAGTCAGAGCTGTTAATAAGCTAATCATGTGTAATAATTTATAAGTCTACACCCTTCATGTATCTATTTCTGTAATTCAGTTTCTCGGCCCATTTAGGGGTAAGTGCCTTAATAATAAAGTGTAGGGAGTGTGTTATACCTGTTTTTTTACATTTACCTTTATATTGTTACAGCCTTTCTTTAAACTTTACTTCTGTAATAAATTTTGTGGACCGGAAGTTTCCCATTTCATTGCCGTGAACCTGTTCACGGCTAGTTAGGGTTACAACCCTTTCACCTTTATTTAAAGAGTTTTGTCACAACATGCGACTACGGCGCTCTATACGTAGAATTATTTAGTAAAATAGGGAAAATATTGAAGCAGGTTATAATTGCCTTGACTTCGAACCTCTCTCTAACAATTTATATAGCACCTTGGTTTTATGGCTGTTGCACTGTCAACTTATTTAGATTGATCACACATTATAGTTACATCAAATCTAAACGATTCATTTCGTTACACTCCATCAATATAGATATACACGTCTTCAATGACGACAATGACTCGCCTTAAAAGGCCCAAGTTATAACGTTCAGGGAACAAGTCTGCAGGCAGGGAATTCCACTCCATAGCTGTTCGCCATTTAAATGTGGAAGCGTAACGCTTCGTGCGAATCTTTGGGATATCCCCAACATAGATCGACACAGATAGACACAACACATTCGATATAACTCCCCTGTTTTTGCGACGGAATTTAAAAATTACGTGTAATTTCTAATCTTATAGACATCCAACACTCTTTCTCTGTATATGAAGTCCTTTTGAAATTTCGGTCCCAACTGGAGGCTGAGTTTCAAGTCAACTAGAGATGGTTGCGAGCCCAACAACATAATTATTATATACTCAGCAAAAACCTATCCAATTGCAAACTGTAATCGTTCAACGAACTATCTGTATCAAGATCAAACAAGAAGCTTTACTCTATGTTGATCTTGCTTTCGTAACGTTGGCAATAAGCTCGCGACAAGGAAAAAATACCCCTTGTGACGGTCGTAAACCGTAAGGCAATAACACAAGCCACTAGAAGTAGATTTAACAAGCTGCGCTGGCGCACCTTATCGGCGATCGACTCGTTATACGCGACACTTCAATGGACTCGGCCGGGACGTGTATCGACTAGAATACTTCTGATACGAAAAGTGTTATGTACTGGCGAGAGGAAAATTGGTTACCCACTCACTTTGACGGTATAATTAACCACGTCATAGAGATAAATGCTTGTGAACATTAGAAATCATCGAACAACACAATTTCGAAAATATATACAATGTGAATAAGAAAGGTTCAAGTATAGTAACCCTGCAGGACTCCCTCTAGTTCTCTAAAGGAATGTAAAAAGTCACACAAAAAGCTAAAATAAACGATCCCATAAAGTGAACATGGGTGACATTACAACAATAATAAGGCATTGTTTACAACGCATTGGAAATAATACAATGTACCAAACTGTCTGAACTCACTTCTCGATATATGGTTGAAACGCTAACAATTCGTAAAGGGAACGACATACAGAAAAGGGTTTATTTAAAACAAAAAGCTTTACAATCTCTGTTGTATTGTTTTCAAAATGGACATAATTTTATTTGCGGAGACAGAAAGAGAAACTACGCATTAGAGCTTTTTCAACGCATTAATTATCTTAAAAAATTAAACAAAAAAGCATCTATTAAAAGCAAAAATTTCGTCGCGATAGTTTTCTTAGAAACATAATATAATGGAAGATCGAAGAAAAGAGAGGCAGAGGAGGACCGAGACGAAGTTATTTAGATCAGGTAAACAACAGAATTTACATAGGTATAATATAGCACAGTATCCCAAAAACCAGTTTAGGTTTTACCGTACACTGTCACTCGTCATCTAGTACAAGTACACATTATATTTAATATTAAGTTGTAGAAGTATTTTTTTTTATAATATTAAATGACGCGACGAACAAGTCCTGCACCTGATGGTAAGCTACACGCCCGTAATAATTGCAGTGCCCCTCAGAGCTTTGAGATCTGAGGGGCACTGCCACTGTGCCCATTACCCTGGGAGATAAGTTGACAAGTCCCACGTGCCTGTAATTTACCAGCACCCTTCGAAACAGAACGTAGTGATGTTTACATTACTTACTGCTTAGCGGCAGAAATAGGTAAGGGGGCAGTACTTCCTTGGATGTTGAACATTGTATAATTTTTGTTAATAACCCTATTTAGTTTTACATAATTTAATAAATATATATGCATATATGTATAAACTGTAACTGCCAGCCAATGCAAAATGTCCAAACATGAAAATAATAATATACTATAAATGATCCTACTTTATTCATTATGGTGTCCATTTCTCGTCAAAGTACCCAAAATAACGAACGTAAAGTTCTTTTTAAAGAACCTTTTTATCCCACGGTCTATCTCCAATAAAGAAACTACAAAAAACTAACTTGTACAATCGACTACAAGAGACGTGTAAGAAAACAGCGAGCAAAATCAGTTGTACATAGCCAACTAATTGTAGCTACATTGCTTTGTAATTAGAGGAAATCGTGGATCAACATTCCTATTGCTTGAGTACTTGATTGGTTACTTTGTTGGGTTCCGTTAGCGAATACAATAAATAGCTTTAATAATTGAACTATTAGATTTTGTATATTACATTTTAAAATTTTTCATTTTAATTCAATATAGATAATCAAATCCGGCTATTGTTGTTAAAATGTATATGAATAAAAATTGATCTCGATACTAGAAGGCCAATTGTCAAAATAAGAATAAAGAAGACAATAACGCTATTAGTAATCATTAGAACGTTCACAATTCAGTCATTTTTTGACAAAATTTGATCTTCTTTCTCATTCTATCGATAAAACTATCGACAACAACATAACTATTGAAAATTTTATGAAAACTGGCATCCTTACAAATGTCATTTCACTCCGTCTTCAAAGGAAACAGACTATATAATAATCATATTACATCATCTTTCATACCACAACGCTCTCTTATTACACAGTTCGGCATTCTGTCGAAATAAATATACTGAACCCTTAAATATTACCAGTCAGTAACACTAGTCTATTTCAATCCATTGCATTGCTTCTAGCAACTGTCATTTTGCTTAACATACGATGCATGTGGATATCTTTAGATAGCTGGCACAGCGGAAAGAGATATGTAAATGGCTAAAAAATGAAAAAAAATCCGATATCGATCGAACAAGGTTGGCATATTTTCTGAAGTGCATTTGCTAAAGTACTTTTTTATTTACTTAGGATTCAAGTAATAATTTTATTATAGCTCTTTTATATAAAAAACTGACCTCATAAGTTTGTGCAATTAATATTTCGCACTGTTAATACAATAGTGTATTAACTCAAAAAGTGTATTTTCTCAGAATCGACGAAAAACGAATTACTCTCTCCCCGTGAAATATATGTGTAAATTTACGTATAGGTTATTTCCTACTTACCAAATATACATATTTATAAATAAAAGAGAAAAAATAATTTATAATTTTTGAATAAGGACTACCTTGGCCAGTACTAGCTGACATCTAATAAGTAGACATCTTTTAGTTGTTTTTTACAATATTCTAACGACGCCGACGGTTTTATTGACCTGTAGAGAATCAAATTTTACTTTCAACAATGGTATAATCTTGAATTTCAGATATTTTGAGTTATAACACTTGTAATAGCAGTGCGATTTGTGAAATCCATTAAACCGGATTCATTGCCTAATTTGTCCGTAATGTCAGTTCGGTCCGCAATGTCACAGGGATTTTATCTCTAGGTGTACAAGCGATATTAGTATTGTCTCGTATTTGATTCGGATTTATTGCACAAGCGACATCCGAAGTGGGTCCCAGTTTTCTAGATTTGTATGGTCTCGGATTCGGAAAGAATATGATTCGGATGCAGTGCGTAGACGCACTTATCCTTCCAAAGTAGGAGGAGGTTCTCAATTCGAGTATTTTACCAAGTACATACCAAGTATTTTTTTGGTGTGTAAGTTCGATTACACGATTGCTTTGACATTTGTGAACCAATTTTGATGATTCTTTTTTGTTGGAAAGCGTGTACCAGTCGAGATTCTTGTAAAAGAGTTCGTCCAGGGAAATACTGCCACCTTACCTATTTCTGCCGCCAAGCAGTAATGTTAGCATTATTGCGTTCCGGTTTTGAAGGGTAAGGATGCTGGTGACATTACAGGCACATTGGGCTTGTCAACTTATGTCTCACAGTGACGGGCGCAGTGGCAGAGCCCCGCAGATCTTTGCGATTTAAAGCTCTGAGTGGCACTGCAATTGCTATAAAAAAAAAGTCGAAGAAAGTCGACCCTCGTATATTAAACCTCATCTAACATTAAGGGTCGTATTCCAGAACTCTACTCAATACTCAAGTCAGGACTTGAGTATTGCGTGAGCACTGAAAATCATACTCAAGTCCTTGCCATTAGGGTCGTATTTCCGGTGCTTGAAATCATACTCAAATCTGCTCAAATCCTGACTTGAGCATTGAGTAGAGTTTTGGAATACGACTCTGGAACTCTCGCCTGAGAGGGGACGCCGCCCAGCATTGGGATGTATAAATGGGTTGATGATCCTGTGTTGATAATGTGCAAATTGTGCAATGCCTCTAACGATCACAAGAAGAACTAAATTTTTTATAATAATAATAATAATTCATTTATTCGCTTCAAATAGGGTAGGGTACATTACACATGTTTGTGGTAAAAATTAAATCAGAACTTACACCTATCCGGCCTTCTAAAATAAAAGCATGCAAATACAATAATAAAATAATACATTGGTGGATTGAGATTCGATTTTAAAACAATAATTAGGCAACAAATTTTCTTATTTAACACGGCTGTCATCGGCACTATAAACTTATTGTAAAGGTTCAAAACAGAAAGAAAATACTCAGCTTACCGTTTAATTTTGTATTTGAAGATGTCGTACAATCTTTTGATAAGACCGCGTCACATGGTCGCTCGTTACTGCAACAAGAAAAGTTGAGATCAAAAAGTGCAAATGTAGTATTGTTTAAGTCAAGATTGACCAGTACATTTTAGTCCCTGACATGCTGATGCTAGTATATTGACGTTTCACTTCAATATTGTCCATTTACAACTAACAAAAATCAGCCGCCGCATTTTTATGTGAAATTACTCCATTAGTTTGTTATAATTATGAATACAAAGATCGAACACTCATAAAAAAAACCCATCGATCCGGCCGGATTCGAACCGACGTCTTCTAGCATACTATACCAACTAAGCTTCTAGTACTTAGTTACGCTATACCAACTCAAAGGAATTTCTAACCGACTTCAAAAAAAGGAGGACGTTCTCAATTCGACTGTATGTTTTTTTTGTATGTATGTTACGCGATATCTCCGATATTTGTGAACCGATTTTCATGATTCTTTTTTGTTGGAAAGAGGGTACCTCCATAGTGGTCCCATTTTTAAGAAAATCATCCACCTCTAAGGGTGGCAGTTCACGCATGGAGATTCATTTTTATAAATAGCGCCTAAATTTTATTATAAAGAGCAATTATTTTAGTGGTTGATTTTGCTATTCTGCAATTCAAGGCGTTTTTTTCTCTTCAATATACTTTGAGCAGTAAGAACCGATTTTTATTATTTCTGATTGTTCGACCTTTGTATTAATAATTATACACACTGATAGTGTTCTTTTCCAAATCTGGATATTTATTAATAGCATTTAAAGACTCTCTTTATAACTACACATTAAAAATAAACTAATTCTCTTGAGTTTTTAGTTTTTCGCGATTGGAAAGAAACTATTTTTCGGATCTAAGTCGTGTATATTTGTTTTTCCAAAGCGATCAATATTTAAAGCTCTTTACAGATATCCAGATCGCGGTTAACTACTAACTAAGATTGTGTTAGTCATTAAAAAGTTATTAGACATAACTATAATATACTAACTAATACAAGCCACCTTTTTTTTATAATATCAAGTGACGGGACGAACAAGTTGCATTTAAATCTTTTAGCTTTAAATCGCAAAGATCTGAGAGGCACTGCCACTGCACCCGTCACCGTGAGACACAAGTTGACAAGTCCCATGTGCCTGTAATTTCACCAGCACCCTTCAAAATAGGAAGACAATAATACTGACATTACTGCTTGGCGGTAGAAATACATAAGGTGGCAGTACTTCCCTGGATGTACTCTTTCACACAGAGCGCTACTTCTACTTAAAAACCTATTTGAACTATAGTAAATTTTCTTTAAATTTTATTGAATATCATGATATTTTACTACAATGACATTGATATATTTTTGGTAAAAATATTCCATTACTTTGTTATTATTATTGCCACAAAGACCTAAAAGAGATCGTAAGATTATAATTACAAAAAATGCAATTAAAAACATCTATTGTTTTTGTAACTAAAGTTACTAAAAATTCCGTTAAATTGGGTGATTTGCATTAATATTAGACATAACTGTCTGATGATTACCGTATTAGTAAGACGTGACAATGGGACCTGTAAAAAGTCCAGAATAATGATTTGTTTAGAAATACGAACATACAAGATTCTAATAACACCGATTTTTTTTAATTTCCAAAGTAAATCTTTGATTGGAAGAAATTGGATTCCGCTGAATTGAAGTAAGCGTTCGATTATTAAAGTAACTATTGAATCTACGCAACTACAATTATCTGTTTAAAAAAAGCTTTAACCGCCTTCATTATGCACATTCTCCGTTACTAACTACGGGTTCCTTTTGTATGCAGATATGATGACATGTTAACAATGATTATTTTTCTCGTCGTTGTTCTTTATAGCAACTGTTTAACGCCCAAGCACCTACTGTTTCATATATAGAGCACTTTTTACCAATAGAAGTTGACATGTCTGTGGTATACATCTTTGTTTTTTATTCAATTGTTAGCGATCGTTCCAAGAAATGAATTTTGATATATAAACATTGTATAATTGTAAGTCAATGTATATAAAGCGCTTTTTGCAATTCTGCGACAATATTGACAGATGAATGATACAGTAGGAATAACCCACTAAACACGAAACCTCAACGAAACGCATTCACTTGTACAGACGGCAGCACGTCAAGCTGGTTTTATTGGTTACTATATACTTTTTCTATTTCTAGTGTTTTGTGTTTTTAAGTTTACGAAATAATTTATTCATTCAAAAATTCGATTATTCGTTTTTTGTTGGAATTACCTCAATAGACCTCAGTGGAATATTTTTATTGAATGAGACCCATTGAAGAAAAATATTCCAGAAATTTCAAGAAAATATACCACCTCTAAGGGTGGCAAATTTTTAGTAGCAGTAGCATAAGGAGCTCACTTATGATAGAGTTCGTCCAGGAAAATACTGCCTGTATAACATTACCTATTTCTACCTCCAAGCAGTACTTACGCATTACTGCGTTCCGGTTTCGATGCTGGTGAAATTATAGGCACATGGGACTTGTCAACTTATCTCAAGTGTCGGGCGCAGAGGCAGTACTCCTCAGATCTTTTGTAATTTAAAGCTCTGAGTGACACTGCAACTGTTAGGAACAAGCGTGTCGCTTATCAACAGGCACACGACTTGTTCGTCCCGTCATTTAGTATTATACATAAAAAGAATAGGGGATGAATCCGGGTTACCTGATTTCAATAAAACATGGCGCATAGATGTAATTCTAATGAAAACAGAACACAGCGGAAACGGATAAGGAAACTTGATGTCGGTTTTTTAATCAAAAATTTATATTTATAAAAAAATAATTGAATATCAATTCAATAAAAAATTTAATTAATACAGTGAATAGCGACATTTCTCGCCAGAACTGGTAGCTGTAAAGGTACTAACTGGGTGATAAATCTGTCAAAGATTTCTCATAGATGGCGCTACGACTAAAAAGTCGTTGAAAGACCAAGTACAAAGACACGACGCAAGCACATAGAAAAATTCGTGAGGTCCGTTGGTTCGTTCCGTGGCTTAGTTGGTATAGCGTCTGGCACGGTATGCAAGAAGACGTCGGTTCGAATCCGACCGGATCGAAGGAATTTTTTCTGAGTGTTTTTTCTGAGTGTTCGATCTTTGTATTAATAATTATAACAAACTAGTGGAGTAATTTCACAAAAAAATAATTGAATATCAATTCAATAAAAAACTTAGTCAAAAATTTATAATTATTGAATTTATAGTCAGACAGCTGACACGTTATTATTAGTATTTACGATTAACTATAGTGACGAATAGATGACTAAGATATCATCTCAGATATATGTGGTATATTGTACGCATATTGGTTGTCAACAACAATCAGAGTGTTGTTTAATGACTCACCATGTGTCACCCATCATGTACCGGGCCATGATGGGTGACACATGGTTTTCTTAGATTCTTTAGTAAATGCCTGTTTGTGTATGTACATTTTTAATTAGTCATTTATGTCAAACTGGCTTTTGTCGACTTCGTTCACAGTCAAAAATACCCTATATGTTAAATCCGTACAGGGTAATTTTGTTATTTGTTATACAAACTCATAAAAAGGTTGTAATAGCCAATTTGATAAAAACTGAGCTATGGATGTGACTAGGTTAAAATTTCAAGCTTTTTTAGTCCGGCTTTTTCAGTGACGGCGCATCACACGCTGGATGTCTGCCCAGCTTGGGCGGAGGAGCGCCTGAGAGCCGCCGACCACTTGACGCAGTTGTGAGAAAGGATCTCTCTTTACTTAACAGCGAGAGGTCCTGGAAAGCGATTCTCACCTTCTGCGAAACCGTTGTATCGCAGAAGGAGGCGGTGAGGCGAGACAGGGAGGCTGCAGTCACTGTTTGCATCCGTCACCAGAGGACTGGGAGAAGGCGGTGTGACTTCGGTCGCCACCATTCCCACACAGGAAGCCACGGCGATTGCCACGGCATGTGGTCCAAGATTCTACCCTAGAAGTCTGACATAATCCTCTGCCTGTACCCTCAGACAGAAGGTATCCATAACGCATTTCCCCGCGTTAAAAAAAAGGTATTCGAACATGACCCTACACAAGGGTATTGCAATTTTTATAACTCAATTTAATTAAAAAAAAATTATAATTAAAATTTTTGCACATTTCCATTTTTCTAAATCGTCATTTTTTAATTGCACTTTGATAATACTATATTTTTAAGTAAGCGGTAAAAAAGCTTAAAAAGCTTATTATAGTACCTCTGTGTTATATACTTTTTTTATTATAGATATTTAAATTCCCTTTGAAACAAACATTTCACAACAATCAAGATATTCGGCTAGTTAAATGTATAAAACTTAACTTCAAGATGTGAGTGGCTGCGTCAACTGTTAAAATACATTTGTATATAAAAAAAGATAAATTTGTAAAAAAAATCGATATTAGTCAGGAAGAGATAAAAAAAATAAAACCAGAAAAAAATTGCATGGTCCGAGAGACAAAAAAGTTTGCAAACCTATGGACTAAAGATTCATGTCCAGCAGCTAGACAAGGGTTCACAATGTGGTTAAATTATCATATTCACAAATTTCCTTTCTTTTTCACGTTCAAGCATAGTTTTCGTAACGAGAACTACACGAAGTTTTGCAATGTTTGCGAGGAATGAGAAAGATAATAAAGTTAGCGTTAGGCCGGATCGAAAGAATTTTTTCTGAGTGTTCAATCTTTGTATTAATAATTATAACAAACTAGTGGAGTAATTTCGCAAAAAATATTTAAATATCAATTCAATAAAAAATATTAAAATACATTGAATAGCGACATCTCTCGCCAGGGCTGGCAGCTGTAAAGTTACTAACTAGGTGATAAATCTTTCATAGATTTCCTATAGATGGCGCTACGACTAAAAAGTCGTTGAAAAACCAAATACAAAGACACGACGCACATAGAAAAATTCGTGAGATCCCCTGGTTCGTTCCGTGGCTTAGTTGGTATGGCGTCTGACACGGTATGCTAGAAGACGTCGGTTCGAATCCAGCCGGATTGAGTGTTCGA